ATGTTGTAGTGGAATTCTCCCCTACAAACGCTGTTTGTCGCTGCCTAGCCGACCCCACCAATTCCCCAGTGTATGCCTCGTGGTCTAGGTCAACCAGCGCCGCCATACATCACGGAGCGGGGGTCAACTTCTAAGCCACGCCTACCCCCGCTATTTAAGACCTGACCTCGTGGTGATCTGTCTCTTTCTACCTACAGCCGCAGCCAGCAACACCTCCTCCTCCGCCGCTGCTGCCGCTGCCTGGCGGCCCTCGCTCCTCCTCCGCCTGCCTGACGGTCCTCTCTCCCGCCGGCGAGCATGGCGACCCACAAGCTGTCCTTCTCTGAGCGTCCTCACCAACCAGCTCTCTCTACATCACGCTTGTAACCATGCTGCCTTCCCAGCACCAAGCTGCATTGTACATCCAATACAACATGTATATAGAGAGCACATTGTGAGTTTCCTTTCTCCATCCCATCCTGAGTGTGAACCAAACAATCTCATACCCCACAATGTCCTAACAACGTCTCAATTTTCTGTCTCTTATGAACATTGTATGTGTTATTTTGCAGAAACTTAATATTGATGAAATCATTGATAAATTTTGATATATTTTGTTCTTGCTATATATATATATATATATATATACCTTGAGGGTAGGGGGCCCCAAGTTGATCTGTGCCTCAGGCCCCTATTAAGCTTAATCAGGCCCTGTGTCTATTTTTTAAATATATTTACAATACTTAACTTTTCTTTATCTTTGGGGAATCGCTGAAATACAAAATCTGGGTGTGTATCTTTTCTCCGTTTGCAGATTATGCACGGGTTTCCTTTACTTGTCATGTTGATATGACCATTCATTTGTATAGTGCGCTCGTGTGCGGGTTCCGATTGTCATATTCAATGTGTGAACAGCAGACGACGCGCTCCACACTAGCGAGTAGCGACATCTATCCGCTGCACTACCAAATGTGTGCGGGTTACTACGTTATGTAATGCCTTGGGTCAAGTGACTCCTTACAGTCTCAAGTTCTTAACCTCGTGATCAATACGTGTGGAATCTATGATAGCAGACCTGTGAACTGTTTTTGTTGTCCTTGTGGCGCAGTGGTAGCGATCCCTGTTCACACGCAGAGCTCCAGGTTTCGATTCCCACACAGGAAAAGGGAAACACTGGAGCACCTTAGCTTACGTCTTTATTCAAGACATCTTCAGAGGTAATCAAAAGGTAAAATTAGCTGGGGTGTCTAATTTTCACGTAGTCATTTATTAGCTATCATACTGTACACTAGTAAAGAAACAAGAGGTCAAAATTTTCAACAAAAGGTTATCAGTCCAACAATACAGGTCACCGTTGTCAGGAATGTTATTGTCAGCATTATCAACAGTGCCCACAGCCAGGGCCGGCGCTACCCACTAGGCGAACTAGGCGATCGCCTAGGGCGCCAACATCTGGGGGCGCCACAAATTCAGGGCAAGCTTGGATAAAATTAAAAATGAAGGGAAAACTGTGGTGGACACTGTGGTGGAGCCGTGGAGGGTCGGAGCAGGATGTTAGAAGGGGGGGGGGGTCGGAGGGAGGCGAGGGTAGGTAGACGGTAGCTGACTGTGTTTTCTTTTTTAATATTATTCGTTAACCCCCCGGAGGGACTAACGCGGGTCCTTATCTTTGGCGTCCTGGAGAACTGTCGAGCAGTGACCTGAAGGCTGACATCTGAGGAACCCTTCTCCCAACCCCACCATCCCCTCCCCTCCCTTACTGCCAGGGCGGCTGAGCCGCCCCTTCCCTGTCTTTGTCGGGATGAGGCAAGGTTACCTGACCTCTGAAGTTTACGTCAAGGATTTATTGACTTAATGTAATAACAATAATTGGTTATTTGCATGGGTGAAGTAATAAAGCCACAAGATGAAAACAATGTAGTAATGGGTTACTGTACCTACATTAGCTTATCAAAACTTTCAAGGGGGCGCACATCTAAAGGCTTGCCTAGGGCGCCAAATCATCTTGCACCGGCCCTGCCCACAGCCCACTACCAGGACGAGTAACCCCACCACCCCCAGGACGAGTACCCCCACCACCCCAGGGCGAGTACCCCCACCACCCCAGGGCTGACTCCACCACCCCCACCACCCCCAGGGCTAGGTACCCCACCACCCCCAGGGCTACCCCCAACACCCCAGGGCTAGTGCCCCCACCACCCCCACAGGGCTTGTACCCCCCCACCACCCCAGGGCTTGTACCCCACCACCAGGACAAGGAACCTTTTCCTGGAAAATCATAAGAGTTCGTCAATGATAATATAGTCTACATAATATCTATATAGTGTTAACCAGTAAGCTGTCGCCGTTATCAGATATGAGGACACCACTGTTATCAGAGTCGTTGCGGTAGTTAAGAGGTTGAAATTGTGAGGGTCACTTCGTCTGCCCTCGTTACGTCGTAAACCAACCAATTTTGTTTTCCTGGATACCTGAGTATTAACCACGCCAACGCTAACCAAACCTAAACAAGCCGAATCACTTATATACGGGATCTCTTTTTGTGCTGACTAAAATCGTCTGGCGATAGTCAAATAAAATATTAAAAGTGGCGTCCCCGTAGTGAAGGAGTTAACCTAACATTACTTAGCCTATCTTCATTAAACCTAACCTGACCTAACTAAACCTAACCTAACTTAACCTAAACTATCTTAACCTAATCTAACCTATCCTAATTCAACCCAACCTACTCTAAATTAACTTAACCTAGCGTTAAGGTGGTTAAACATCAGATGAAATAAGCTGAGGTGTCTAATCTTCAGGTGATCCCATTTATTCATATTACATAATATTCATGATCTAGTAATTGAAAAATATATAAATGTTTTTTGCCATTAATGTACTTGACATTTTCGAATCAGGTGTTTCAAATGTTAAGGCCATTTAGCACCGTTCATTTAGTGTTAGTTTTTGTCTAAGTCAATGTGGATTCTGAATGTTATATAAAGCTAAATTTAACCCTATAATACTCCTAAGCTAGAGAATAACCATACTTAAGAGTTCTTATGTTTGTTTTTGACGAGGTAAAACTGATTTTTTTATTATGTTTGTTTTGAATGATTTGATATTTCCTTTTCGATAGGATATTTAAGGAGGACAGTAGTACCGCCCGGAGTTTTAACACCTTCCGTTGAAGAGGGTCGTCGTGTTTCAACCCGAGTTTAAAAAAAATGAGTCCCGAAGGACACCGCAGTATAGTACTTGATGGGATGCTGTGGCGGTAAAATTAACTAATTTCACTAATTTAGCCCATAGCAGCCGTGTCAAGCGCGAGAAGTCTTGCTGGGAGAGTTAAGTGTTGTATGTCAGGTGACGACCGACCCATATATACACCTCTGGGTACATACAGTAGGTCTAATGATAGATACCGTATAAGTAGTAAGGCAAGTCGACCAAGGGCCCAGACAAGTAACCACCAGTCCCAGATACGTTGGATGAGCTGGGTGATGAGATCACACATACACACACACACACAGGAAAAATTTGAGATTAGACCCATCGTCGTTGATTTAGTTAATTGTTCCACTACAACTGAATTTGGGAAATTTTATTGGTATAATTTTACCTTTCTTTTGTCCTCTTCGCCACTGATCGGCTTGTTAGCCGCTTGGGCGATCTGTCACGTCTCTGATTACTTTTCCTTTTCATTTATCTTCTTCACCAAATGATCGGCTCGTTAGCCGCTTGAGCGATCGGTCACGTCTCTGTTACGCACTGTTGTCAAGTACTGGGCATGCACCGGTTCCTGAATGTACCTGAACCCGCTCCAGTGTTGGTCAAGTCTTGTCTTAAAAGAGCTCACACTCGGTGCTGTCACAACACTTTCTGGTAGATTATTCCAAGAGTTTACAACCCTCATTACAAGTACAGATTTAGGTAAACAATATGAAGAACAATAGTTTCGCTTCGTATTATCATCCCAAAGGTGGGAATGTAGTCGACCTCAGCAGGATTCTCAAACGTTCTTAGGTTCAATTTCCTTCGTAACTGAAGATGGAAAAGTTTAGCGACCGTATAGTACCTTAACTAGATACATTCCCTCTTTTTTATCACATTCGCCACTTATCAGCTAACTAGCCGTTTGTGCAATTTATCCAGTGTTAGTACAAGTGGAAACCCGGGATTTGAAACCGCGGTGTTTGGTATAGGGTCACACTGGATAACACCCTGTCTTCTCACGTATGTCCGGGCCGAGGCTCGAACCCTTGACATATTGATGAGAGTTATGCGCGTTACCACTGTACCACCAACATTGGAGAGGGAACAATATAAACGTAAAAAAAAATTCGTGACTGTATCCTGCATCATATTTAACTCGTAAGCCAAGCTAGTCATCATCATGCAACAATGATCAATAGATCATCTCTTTTTAATACGGTAATGCAGTGATGAATGAGATCGTGAGTATCGTGATATAAAAATACCATGATATGCTTTACATAGTTCAGCTATTATTATTATTATTAAAAAGTTTGTCAAGCAGAGAAGCTTGGTCACGTGACTGGACCCCAGTGCCCAGCTGCCAGAGATATGACGTAACCTTGCCTCTCGACCTTGACGGTATCAGTTGCCAGCTAGCTCATTCTCCGGGCCACAGAACCACTGGTGCCAACATAATAATACAATTCATTCTCATGACTTATGACGACACATTAATCTAATGTCTACAAACTACTGGTTTGTTTTCGTCTCCTGGCGGAAATTTAAATCATGATATAATTGAATAATAGAAGTTCTTGGTTTAGACACAATCAGTATGTAATAACCGGAGTCAGACGAGTGAGAGGCGTTTTAACTATGTGTTTTGTAAGCGTTCGTTTGCTTAATCTTTGTACTAAATTAGATATATCCTCAAATAGCCGTACACGTGAGTAAATTTTAGATAAAGGATGTTGTAGGTTACACGTGAGTAAATTTTAGATAAAGGATGTTGTAGGTCAAGGTTGCACACCAAGTCAGAGAAAGTATCGGTGTGGGCAGACAGGCATGAACTCAGCAAGCCTCCCATTAGGGCTTCTATGCTTCGCCTTGCACAGGATGTAAAATTAATGAGTGCCCAATAGACTAGCCCCCGCGCTGCGTGGGGCAATTCTAAATGCCACGTTCAGGTAAGTTGTAAGGGTGTTTTTTTTATGGTCTAAGTCATGGACATTTGGTAAGTGAAGAAATGTGCCGTGAAGAGCAGCTTCAAACATAGGTTGGATGGATATATGAGTGATAGGGGTTGGGTGTAATTAACCGTGTAAATGGGACTGCCCAGTATGGGCCAATAGGCCCGCTGCACTTTCCTCCATTTTTATGTTCTTTTGGACATAAAAACTCCCATGTTCAATCCAGCTCAGCTGTCATGTACTCTTACCTGGTAGACTTCATCTTTTTTTTCCAGTGCATTTACAGAGTATATCAGTATTAGATGGAGATACGAGTAAATTTAGAAGTAATGAGATTGTCTGGACTTTGTTTTTGAGAATGCCTATTGCTAGGTAAACATAACAACAATGCTGTTATTGTTTTGATGATTCACTAATTAACCACTGGGATATATCATCATTTATATTAATTAATGGGTAAAATTTACTTAAACTACCATAAGTATTTGGATGCTTAGATTCGAGATTGGCTATATTGGGTAAATTTTAAGTTTTGGTCGTCCCTGTACTTAGACATGCAGACTATGTGTTTTTTCTGATGGTTTGCGATGTGTTATGAACGATTTAGACCTTCATTTCCATCGGAAATCACTAGTTTTGAGATACTATCCCTCATTACTGATGTACGTTAAGCTAACCTTATAACTCATTAAACCCTAACCTAACCTAACGTAACATATGATCTGTATTTTTTTATGCGATCGAAAAATGTTTTGCGACATAAATCCTGTAGAGATAATGTGTCTTATTGTTTAAAGTAGGTGCTAGAATTCTGTCATGGGGAAGTGTCGTCGAGCAGCAAGCCACCATCTTTTTCTTATCTTATCTTTCGGTACTGTGGTGAATATTTTGCCTGGTGAGGAATTCTTGGTGCTCTTGCACATTGACACGAAGCACTAGCGACACTTTGTCCTTTGCTTGAACATTGTATATGGCCACAAATCCTGGATTTATGTAGGTAACAACACCTATTCCACAGCAAGGGACGTCACAACCAATTACAGCTTTTCGAGTCACCTGACTTTTTAGCATCTTTAACCCTTATTTTTTTTACCATTTTTGGCTCAATTTATTTTAAAATATCATTACCATAGTAAATTTAGGCGTTTTCTTTACCCATTGACCTGCCTTGTTACGAAAAAATTCCGACCGTCAACTCGTCCATTGTAATCATTCTTTTTTTTTCCGCTCAGTTATGTTCATGAGTTGACCCGACGAAGTTCAATATCTGGATCATATGTACAACAAGTTTTAATTCATTGTAACTTTGCAATATATACTTGTTTGACTATGTACTGTATACCGTATTTAGCATTAAAAGACGTCAGACTCCTTAGACACGTATTTTAGAGTCCAAGTGTAGCCTTTACAGCATAAAAAAGAGCCCAAAATGTGATTGCAGTTAGGTATTGTGGTACGGTATCTGAGCTAATGGAAATTGTTGTTCTTATAATTTACATAAATATAATTTTTTTACTTGTGGTACTAGTTCTCAATAAACTTTCTGGATCTAATTTGTATTTGATTTTAGCACCCCACCGCTAGCATGGCGAGGCTGAACGGTTACCATGTTATTAACATTTCTTAATCTTGCATTTTGCTACTGGTACAAAAAAGATGCAATCAAGTCCAAAACGAAAGTGAGTGCATTAAATAAGGCCCTCCACTTTTCTTTTTTATTATGTGATCGACTCTCACAATATTATAATTATAGTGTAAATTTTATACAATTCATGTGAAGTACAGGTAGACATAGTTATTTATAATTTATGCAGTACTATCATCTTACTGTAAATTACATTTTCATTTGATTGCCCGAAACTCGACGAACAGTGTCTTACAAATTGCAAATTAATTGGTCATCGCATGGCGTGCGTGATGTCGATCGATACCCGTCCCACGCACCGGCATATCTGGAGCCGCGACCTCTTCTGACAAAAAAATTCCCCGTACCTTCCTTTAGACACGACAGCTTTAATTTTCTATTTTAATAGGCTCTGTTCTCGCCAGGGAAACATGAATGACTTTCAGTTCATTCACCATGTGTGCAGGTTTTGTATTTTGTCTGTCTCCCTGAGTCTGTCAGTCACTACTTTTGCTTAATAATGAAATTATATATGTTAATTATTGTATATCAATGCAATTCACACAATAAGAGTAGATTGTATAAATGAAATGCTGTAGTCCTGCTCTTATAACAGTACTACTATATAATATGTTTCAGGGCTCCTCCTTGGTATAAGAATGATACAAATTAATTGCATTTTGCTATATATAAGGTGACGGTCGCCTGGTGTTACCTCGACCGCCTGTCCTATAGAACCCGCCTCCTGAACACAGTCTACTCAGCGAGCCTCTCCTTCACCGAGAAACAGTTGTGACGTCAACATTTGCACGAGACCTCACTCATGCGGGCGGGGGAGAGCAACAATGTTGCAGCACAATTTTACTTTTAGATTTCATTGGAAAAAGAAGCAGAATGGTTCAATATGCATGTGGCTATCCATAATTTAAACATTATATTGAATATGATAAGAATGATAAAGAAGGCTACATATTAAACATGTGATCAATAATACCGGGTTCCTTTTATTCTCCATGGTGGCCTCCGTCTTCTGTCGATAGGTCAGCCTTGAGGAAGTTGAGGGTGAGTTGCCAGGTAACATTTACTGTAGAACAAATCACGTGAGCCAGCAGTCACAAGTCTACCACACCGTTCCACCACTGATATCTAATCCCACAGTGAACACTGAACAGAAACCTCTTATCAGATGAACAACGATGTTATAGAGAATTCCGACTGTGAGAAAGATTTAGGAGTAATAATAAGTAGGAATCTTAAGCCAAGTAAACAATGTGTATTTGCTCGAAACAAGGCTAATAAAGTACTTGGGTTCATACAATGGAGTGTTAGTTACAAGACTAGCGAAAGTTGGATAGCGTAATTATATATACAGCATGCTATTAAATAGATCTATATATATATATATATATATATATATATATATATATATATATATATATATATATATATATATATATATATATATATATATATATATATATCGTCGATTAACCATCAAAAAGCAAAGACGCAATTCTGCCAAATTGAGATCTATTTTTCTTTTTTAAGGCTAAATGGAAATTAATTCTCATATGGTAAAATTTGCTCCCTTTCGTTTACCGTCATAATATAACCAATTATACCTAAAGTAAGTTAGGTAATATTAGATTGGGTTAGGTAATGATAGGTTAGCTTTTCTATAAACTATTAATTTATATGTACTGTATTATGATGTATTAAATTCTATATGATTGTCTATGGTCAGTCAGAAGTTTAAAAAAAATAATACCTGTACATAGAAGTTGTCACTATCAGGCAATTATCCCTATTTAGTGTAGCATAAAAATAATGTAGTACATACATATGTGTGTGTGTGTGTGTCAGGATGACCCTCAATACCTCACTTCCGTCTTCGCTCGACTCTCATGCAACCCTTGCTTCCTTGTTGGGCGCTGTAAACGTTTTTGCGCTCGCCTTGCGCAGGATGCAAAGGGGTACAGTACCATATAAACTAGCCCCCTCGCGGACAAATCTGAAAAACAATAAAAATCCGAATCTCACGCAACGTCAAAAAAAAAAAAAAAAAATCACCGGAGATTAGATAATGTAAACATTTCTTTATTATAATTTACCTCATTTTTCGTTTTTATTTTATTTTATTTTCAGTACTGGATAACATTTCTCTCACTCTCATTTGCTGATTTTGTTTTACTAATTTTATTTAATATTTATTCTCCCTACAGTTAATCCCTCGCCAACATTTAGTAGTGAAAGTTCGCACTTCCGTATTATTTTTCATGCTATATGGTGCCATTTCACTTGCCATAATTTTATTAATAAATAATAATTTGGAACTTTACAAAATTTAATTAATCCTATTGATTATACGCGTGTTTGTGTAATGAATTTTGTGTGGGTTTGTTTATGTATGTGTATGTGCATTCGACTTTGGAACTGCCCTACATACTGTACATTTGTGTTACCAAAACGCATAATGATAAAAGCATAGACTATCATAGTTTCACTTTCGATGATGTCGATATTTATGATTTGCTTCTTTCTGTAACAATTCGTTTATGTCGTAAATGGATTTGTGCGTATAGCGTCTCTACGCTTGTAATAATTTAGTTTCATAAAAAGTATGTAGATTGCTTGTTCTTTTACACTGCACCTGTCCAAAACATCGACACCGAAGAACAGTAAATTAAGAAATGCTTAAACCAGGTAACAGCCGGATGGTATTTGAACAAGTGACCATACAATACTGTATTATACAGTAGTCCTTACTTGTAAAGACTATTGACTTAGTTTATTGAAAAAAACTGGAATAAGTGATTAAATGCAATTGATTTCGAACTTGGCGAATCATGGTTAATTGTTCCATCGTTGTTTTATAGGAATGCTTCGTTATTCACAGACTAAAGTAGGAAATACATGGGGGACCGGTGGTAGAAGCAGTATCGTTCTTGCCTCGCAAGCGAGGTGTCACGGGTTCGATTCCCGGGTCGGTGGAAGTTGTTTGGACTTACTTCCTAGCCCCCATTAGTCCCTGTTCACCTAGCAGTAAAGTAGGTACCTGTTGTAAGTCGAAAGTTGCGAATTTGTATTCAGGGAGTTGTTGAAGCTTCCAATAACTTGATGACATAAACCACTGACTCTTCAGGCTTCTACGCCCTTGACTCTTCATGTTTCTACGCCCTTAACTCATGAGACATAAAGGCAAGCATGAACTTAGCATGCTTCCCTGTTGGGCACTGTAAACGCTTCACCTTACACAAGGATGTAGGGGGGTGCCCAATAAATAAAAAAATAAAAAAATAGGAAATACACTTATTATTGTGTATTAAAATTGATTGCTAGCTATATACTCATGTTGATTGCGAGCTAAATATTCTTATTGATTGTGAAGTAAATACTCATTATGAATACGCTGTGCACACGTATGACTCATCACATACCCATATACGGTACATCCAGGTAAATTGTAAGTGTTGTTATATACAGCACTTACTGAAAATAAGCACAGTAGCACTGATAGTTTTGTCGAATTTCCTTGTACCTGCATTGCTTATACACAAGATGAACTATATATTGTACCTGCACTGTTTATACACAAGATGAACTATAGTATACCTGCATTGTTTATACACATGCTGATCTAGTAGGTAGTAAGCAGCTACCAACAGGGAGGTACTACCGCCTAGGAAGATATTGGAAGCATAATATGTTGTCTAATGGTAGACCCTGCTGCCATATGGCATCACGGAAATTGTGACCAAGTCCCAGGTTGCTGATCTGACTTTCTGCCTCATTTACACACAATTGCAGGGTCTCAATTGTTTCTTTTTCTTGGACAACACAACATATAATGTATATCGTTTCTCACTCGTGATTTATTTTTTCGTTTTTGTATTTATTTATGGTTATTATTATTCTTATTATTTTTATTTTATTTTTATTAATTTTATTAATTGTTGTAATAATATAATTATTATTATTAATAATTATTATTATATTTTCACCCCCAGGCCCTGATGTGGGTCAGTGACCTGTGCCCGGGTGGGCTAATCCTAATCCTCTTAAAAAAAAAATCTATATATATATAGTGTACCTGCATTGTTTATACTCATGATGAACTAACTATATAATGTACCTGCATTGTTTATGCACATATTGTACCTGCCTATTTTTACACTTTCTGAATTATATACGTTACTGTACCTGCATTATCTATATACGGCACATGGTAAACCAATTGTAAACTTCATGAATTTGCTAAATACATTTTTTTACGGATACTACTACAGTATGCACTATACGGAGTTGTAGTTGGTCTACTGGTATATTGGGATATTTAAACTGTTGCGTTTATTAACCTAACTTAACCTAATCTAATTTAACCTAACCTAACCTAGCCTATCCTAGGTTAGGTTAAGCCAGTGTAAATATCCCGTCGACCAACTCCAACTCGGTAGACCGCACACTATAGTAGTACCATTTTATTATTATTATTATTATTATTATTATTATTATTATTATTATTATTATTATTATTATGTATAAGTTTAGGTATTACTGATATTACTACATTTACATGGCAGTAAAACTTAACGAGCCTACTATGGCTTAGGAAATTGATTGATGTCAAAATTAGTTTATTATAAAGAAAGAAATAAAGATCGAAGCATTTCTTAGAACGGGAATCAAATACCAAATTTGAGATACTGTACTTGAAAAATGGCAGTGTAAGGAAATCCATTAAATGTGCTGGGTGGCAACACCAGACGTCATAATGACGTCAGCAGGTTAGTCGTCATATTTTCTTTTTATGTTTGTTTATATAATACAGAAATGTTTTTTTTATCATTTTAATTTTACCACTAATAATACTTTGTATAATTTTATAAAACTCGACGGTAAATAATATCAGAATTAATACAGGGATTTGTGTTTTTCTTGTCAATACGTGATGAAAGATGGGATTCGGCAACTATATGGGTTGCGTAGCCTCCCAGCCGGCAGCCGCTCAGAGCCTCACTGATTCACTCGCTCCTCACGAGCCGCAGTGCGCGCTAGACGGAAGGCCTCACTGATTGCTGTTGAGCTCAGTGTTAAATTTGTGTATATTAAGTACTTACCACCTAAAACCATGAAAATCTGGACATCAGAGCACATATTTAGGTGAGTAGTTTGTGTTGAAAAACGAAAAAACTCCTAAACAACCTTAAAATTAGAGGTTACAATTGTGCATGAGTCCGGTGCCTCAGCTGATCGACTGGGAGTGCTTATGGAAAATTCCAGTAACACGTAGTTTAGGCGCAAGAACCACGCGAAAATTTGCATACTTTGGTGTATGAAACATAATTATGTGGACTGTACTGTAGATGAAATACATATACAAGAAGTAATGTGCCGGATATGTGCATGACGACTGAAAACGGGAATTCTTGTAAACAAGTTTTCTATGTAAAGGTTACGTCATTTCGGGATTATTTATGTGTACTGATATCTAATCCCACAGTGAACACTGAACAGTATCTTTAGAGCACCATCACTGCTTTACGACGTTATGTTTATACATAGTACTGAATTTGAAGTCGAATAGACGAATTTAGCTTCAGTAGAGAAAATAATGTCACCTATGTCAATTACTCCCGTTACTCTTTATATCATGTGAACTGTGAAATGTAAATTTTTCATTTTATTGCTGTATTTAATAAGTCACCACTAAAAGCCTCTGCGAGTTCCATAAATGTCGCAACACAAACAAGAGAAGTTTTAATGCAAGTTAACCAAGGTCATACTGGCACAAGTAGTGAGTGCAGTAAACAGTGCTAAAGCTGCCTCCCGAAAGCTGGGAATGCTGAACAGATGCCGTAGCTACTTCACTCCTGAGCAGAGCTGCTTCAAGTTTATAAGAAATTCATTCATCCTAACTTGGAGTACTGTACTGCTCTCATGTCTGGGGTGGCTCCTCTTCTGTCCAACTGTTAGATAGGGTGAAATCAAAGGCATTTCGTTGATAATCTCTCTTCCCTTGATCTTCACTGCAATGTTGCTTCACTCTTTTACAGGTACTTTAACGGGCAATGTTCGGTGGATTCCACTGGCCCACGAAGACCAATCCACTTTGCTGGTACAGTATCTCGGAATCTAACCACCTACATGTTATCAAAGCGAAATATGCAGGAGCCCATCCTGCTGAAACCAGAAATATCGACGTGTTGAAAGTGGCATATTGTCTAAATAAGGCTGCAAGACTTCAGTCAACATTGCAACATATTTTTCCCCCAGGCACATTAGCGTAAAAAAGTATGGTCCATCATCATGGCCTATATCCTGAAAAAGAACAAAAATACCAAATTAGTGTACTTAAGCATATGATTCCGTGCTTTTATTACACCCTGTACGATTAATTTTTATTTTCTGTGACATTTTTGCTTGTGTTTTGTTATTGAAATACTTTTAAAAAAAATTTACATTTAATTTTATTAATACAATAGACTATAGCTAATTTCAACCCACCACACCATGGATTTACAGACCTTCCGTATCGTCCCATTTTCGACAATAAATAAATTTTGCTGTAGAGACAACTTGAGGAGTTGGTAAAAAAATCAACTCCACAGTGGATTTATTTTGGGTAGAAATCTAGTGTGACCGCAGCTTTAGGCTAAGTGCATTGTCATATCATTTATATTCCTTACTATCATGTACAGGCCATATGTGGAAAAAATTAATGAAATCGAACAATGCTTTATTCCCAAACACCACCACTTGTGTGCAATGAAATTGTAATACTGTATTGTACACAGTACTGTTCTTACACACCTTAAATAGCATTTTCAATAATATTATTCTTAAAAAGAAGGGTTATAGTGGAGAAGGTGGTTAGTACCTGAAGGAGTTTATGAAATTCATATTTTTCACAAGTGTTCTTTGGATGGTAATAATAAAAACGATTTAATGTTTTCATTTCATTTTTAAGTGTCTTTCATGTTTTTACCCCATAATTTTCCTCTTCTTTAAAGCCCTGCCCACTTCGTGTGATAAAAATTGCATACTGTATTTTTAATTAAAATCAAAACATAAAAAACCTCAAAATGTATATTTCCAACAAAAATGCGCGAGATTAATTTTTTTTTGCTGTATCTCGCTAAATACAAATCAATATAATATATATATATAATTCCATGAGTGGTCACAATGAAATATTTACCTTGATGAAATTCATCCATTCTTTGGACTTGTGGAATATATTTGTAGATGAAATTGTGTTAAGACGCAAATAATGATATGTAGTATGTATTTCTCTTACTTCAGCCACCCTTGGGAAACCGTAACACAAGCAGTTTGGAGAAAATACCCAAACCCTCACAACCCAGCAGTAGTTGGAACAGATGTTGTTGAGCGCCAAGTGGTGAATGGAGTCTTACACACACACAGACTCATCAGTTCTCGGTGGGGCCTGCCGTCCTGGGCACAGACGGTAAGTAAATTATAGTATGTAAAGTAAATTCTTCTAATGGACAAATTTAAGATAATTCTTAGTAGGCTTGGAGAATATCACTGATTTGACTTATAATTACTGCCAGTAGATGCAAATCTTAGGTAACTTGTGTATTGCTAGACAAAGTTTTGAAAACTGAGGGTCCCAGGACCCCCCACATTATTGACAGGATCTAAATTTCAAAAACTTAATTAAAATACTGTAATGGCATAACCCTCCCAACCATACCAGATTCCTTGAAGGCCGACACTTGTATGTCAGGTGCCCCTATAAGATGAGGATGGAAGTTTCACTGCCACACATAACATGTGCACTTGTGGTTTTGAAATGACCAACAATAAAAAGGACAAAAAAACTCCTGCTACAAAAATACACATCTATTTTTGAAGCAAGATTCTCTCTTTATAAAGGTGAGATCAGAAACTAACAAAGTGCTTAACTGGCTGTATGTGAGGCGGGTGGAGATGCACAATGCAGTCGCTGGCGTAATATTGCTGTTAGTGGTTGTAGCTATCACAGGAGAGTCAGTTGTTGATGTCGCTGCTTCTGTAGAATGAGTGTCCTGCATGGATGGTAGACACCCATTATATGGCCGGTGGACAGAGCTTGTACCAACTTGTGCTGCGATTGGTTGGTGGTATAGAAGCTTTGACAAGTGATGATATCATTCTGCACTGGTGGTGGTTTGCAAGTCATCACAGGTCCATGACTTCATACTATAAATCCCTTTGGGTCACTTTTCATATAAAAAAAGAAAGCAGTGTAGTATATTTTTCCATTAAAGGTTCAGACGCTGAAAGGGTGACTGCATGAAACAAACACACTAAATGATGGCCTATAAACTCTGGAGTTATTTTATCCTTGAATAACCTTCTCTTTTTCATCTACCAATACTCCCTGCAGTGGGTACCCACTTTATTTGGGGGGGGGGTGAATTCTCAAGTGCATACTGTATAAATGTTTTAGATTGAAGTTACCTGTGACATGTTCATACTGTAAGGTACCTTCAATTAATTTTTTAAGGTGTAGTCCTTATAATTGGTTACTGTCAATGAGAATACAGTTTACAGTGCTGTGAAATTTTGCTTTCAGTTTGGTGTACAGTACATTGGAGTTGCTTTGGTCTGTTGGCTTCATCATTGCTTGTGAAGGAATTTATGTAAAAAAGAAGAGTCAATTCAGTCACATATAATGAAATACAGTATAATACTTGGCCATGATGGGCTCTCTTAAAGAATGTGGAGACCAATAGGTAAGTAAAATTCAGAAAAACAAATTCTTTCAGGAATTTAATGTAGGTTCACATTCAATAAAGTACAAGATATAATGTAGGCAGAAGGCAAAGTTGTAAAGTAACGAAATAAATTTACTTGAATCTACTTTTTAAAAAGTACCAAAATTTTTTAGTAATTTTACTTTGGGATGGTTTTCTAAGACTTTTACTCCAGTACAATTGAAAAAAAATCATTACTCGTTACGTACGGTACCCCAAACAAACAAGCAAACACAGTTTTAATGCCTTGTAGCAAACTAATAATATATTTTTAATAAATTAATAAATAAATTATTAGCCATAGTAAAAGAGTTGTGTGGGTGGAACCGTGAAGGGTACAGTGTGGGTGTGGGGAAACACCATGCGGGTCACATTCCTAGACTTTCGTGAGGTGAAGTGAAGTCAGGTCAGGTGGCAGTGGTCATGACAGCTGACTTTCTCTTTGATCTTCTTGTGTCCATTAGCACCTTGACCACCCACCTCACCTAGCCTACCCTCTTATTCCCCCTCCCCCCATCGAACCTCCTCTCTTCTCCCCCACCTTTCTGTTAGACGTCGGTTGCTCTTTGCACATACCTGTACCTAAAATGAATTTCAGAGAGGCTGTGATTCTAAAATGCTTTACATAATTTCTTCTTAGCTATAAAGCAGGTATCTGCACATGTGTGAGACTGAGTGTATTTAAAATTCTACTTAAATAATTAAGTACCACTATCCCTTTCCCTTGCCAGCACCCGCCACTCATCATGTCACAAGTCCATGTGGTCAGACACTGATACATTGGTACTTGTGTCTCGCAGGACACGCTATGACTTGTAATATGGAGACAATATTGTCATGGTTTAAGGACAAAGGGGGTTAGCACTCTCCCTGTGGTAGGAGGTCCCTGACAATGGACAGTCAGGGCAATACAGTAGTGTTGAAAGGTGTTAGCATCGGGACAGTTACAGAGTTTACAGGAAGAGAAGTGCGGGTCATCCTCCACTTCAGATACATGCCAGATAGGTCTGTATCCTAACCTAATGTGAGCAAAGTCAACATTATGTCTGCGGACAATAAGTCCATATCGACGATACTTGTGAGGATAAGGAAGAAGGTGATAAGTGTTGGATGGATATATTTTCAGCCTGTTCACCCTCCCTGTGATGGATTGTAGGGAGAAGAGCGGCTGAGCGTACGAGTATTCTCTTTCGCTAGGTCCTGCTGGGCTTATATTTAGGCCTAAAAGATCCTGATTGGACAGCCATAATTTTGAGAATCCGTTATTGATTAATCTTAATAGAAAGATTCGCAAATAAACATGTGTAATGCTATGTGCCTTATTTTTATCTTTAGTGATCTATATTTTAATAATTTTCTGTGGATTTATTTAAATATTTGGAACAAATAAACATTTTATTGTTACCTTTTACTTTGACATTTGGTTACTTTAACTTCTATTCGAGTAACATTTTGCCAATGTAACAATACTTTTACTTAAGTAACAAAATCCAGTACTTTTTACAACTCTGGTAGAAGGCCACTTCACCTTTGTGTAAAAAGTATTTGTGTTATAAGTTCTGGCAGTGATGTTGGCAGCTCCCACCCAGCACTCTTGGCTCATGTAACTGTTTATCCTTAATTGTAGTGAGTGTTTAGTGTTAATTTTATAAATTTTCTTTCACTGTGGTGGTGGCATATTATATAATGGTCACTTGAAATTAAGATAGATTTGATTCACGGAGTATTTTTGTACTGGATTGTAGTTAAATTGCTCTTTAACCCAAATGAATGAAAGTAAAAGTTGAATGTTAAATGACTAGTACTCGTGATTGTGTTGCCCTGCCAGGTGGGTGTGTGCCAATACAACAGTTCCTTTCATGCTTTGGCAAAAACTTGTCGTGAATTTTCACATGTATATATATGTACTGTATACTGTATGAATATTTTTACATATATGAAGGTTTAAGATGTTACCTTCTTTTATTGTCCTTGGTATCACTAACTTGATACTGTATGTTAGAAATACTGTACAGTACTTACAATATGAAGTTTTAAGTACAGTACTGCAATAAAGAACATAAATACTGTATATAAAAAAAGTAAATATTCCAGAATTCATAAAATTTAAATTTTTGTATTGATCATGTATTTAATCATAGACCACACAGCATAATTACTATACAAGGGAGAACACTATAGAGTTGGAGTTAAGTTTCATGTTTAATTTCAATTTCATGGTTCAGGGGAAGAAATGAGTGAAGTGTCATCCTCATAAGTAGATTTTATATTGAGGTGCTCCGCGTACCCCCAGAAAATTCATTTTCTATAATAGAAAATTGTCTTGCCCTTCCCTGTAGAATGGCTTTACCTTCAGTTGGATAGCTCATCAATTGTATGTCTCAGGCTAGAATTGATGAATAAACCAATTGAGTGTAAAGCCAATTGATATAGGAAGGCACTACAATTCTTTTATTACTGTATAGTATAGAAAAAAGGACTATTGGAGTTATGGCAATTTCATCATTTGTACGAAGAGTGCCTCAAGTACCAGGAACAGAGAATCACACCAGGAGTCACATTTGGGGCTGAAGATGATTAAGAATGCATGCATACACCTGAAGATTTTCAACTCCAGACTTGAAGCCTCAATAAATGTTGAGAATAGCTTGATTAGGTTTAACGAAGTGTGGAGCTACTTACATTATAAACATGTGTGCATAGATAGTGTATACTGCCACTAAACACATCAAGCCTGATATCTCTCATGTCATTCATTCTGGCCCTGCAGCTATATAGTGGGATTTCGTTCTTCAGTCTTTCATCTTTTACACATGCTTCAAAAGTTATTTAAAAGGGGAACAACTTCTATCATAATTTATTTTCATTTAAGGTTGCTTTATTTATTTTTTTATGGATGTGTATGAATTGGTGAAAAGTTAAACAAAGAATTGTTCTATTGATTTCCTTACAGGATGGTATGGATGTGAAGTGTTTCATGTTACAGTAATACTGTGGACAGAATTTGACCTTAATAAACGATGGGAAGGTGTGAAATTAGGGCAACAAAGATAATTAAAAAATTTTACTGACTGTAATAGCAATAAGGGGTGCAGTGGTAGAGTGGTTACAGTGTTCACCTCCTGTTCTGTAGATCGGTTGTTCAATCTCGGGTACTCCCAGTTTACCCAGCTGTAAGTGGGTACCTAAGTTTACAACTTGGGGAAGTGAATGTGGTTGAGTGCAATATTGGCCATGCTGCCTGCTTGTGCACTGAAGGCTTAGTACAGTATACAGTGTGCTGTATCCACACTGATCCTAATGGGTAGTCATGCCTATGGGACCCATTTTCAATTTTGAATAGCAATTAGTTTGAAGTACTGTACCATAGTTAATAACATATTCATTCTTCTTTGCAGATCCTTGGTGCTGACCGCGTATGTTATGGCTACGAGCATTCAGAAGTTAATCCTGAAGAGAAAACTATGACAATGAGAACAAGAAATGTAAGTCTTGGACTCTCACTCTATTTTTAATTACTGTTGTATATTATGTCATAACATGGTAGAACCTCCACCTACAAATCAACTTAGGTCAAATATACCAAAATCACATTTCCCTTTTTCTAAAAAAGTTTGAGAAAACTATTAACAAGCATTAATTTTTTTTTGTGGGGGGAGGGGGCTGATATCTGTACTGTTATGTCTATAAGAAATACATTTATAAGCTTCTTTATGTGAGACTCAAAAATGTAATACAGTACTGTACACTACCGTATATGGATATTATTTTTATACCTACATTGTACTGTATTGTATGTGCAACAGAGGCAAATCAAATTTTACTTTTCATCTCTATGTACGGTACATATTTGCACAGTACCTAAGTTTGTCAGCAAAATTATATAATTACTGTATGCTGTACTTTAGTTTTTAGTTTAACAAATTTATTGACAAAGCTTGGAGTACAGTTTGCCTATTCTGAGTAATTCAGTCAGGTCTTGACACTGTGGGTGGTATCACTTCTCACTGCCACACAGGACAGAGGTTCATACACAAAGAAATACAACATATTCATTAACAGCTATATATATAGAGGTCAGATTCATGTGGATAATGTCACTGTTCACGGCCATGCAGGACAGAGGATCGTACACAAAGAAATACATCATATTCATTAGCAGTATATATAGGTCAAAGTTGTGTGGGTGATGTCACTGTTCGCTGCCACGGAACACAGTGTATACTCGAAGTAATTTGTGGAGAGGCTTCTTTATATGTATCCATTGATGACCTGATAAGATTTTGAAGTTCAAGTGATTTTTTAATTTTGTTTACAACATTGACATTTGGGAGGTAGTGTGGATACAATTTGCACTTATTAGAAAATGATAGATTCTACTGTATGTAAACTACTTAAATTTTTTTTGCCCACAGTTAACATTTTCCAGTACTGTAAGCATGGATGAGCGTATGGTATACTCTCCTGATCCTACAGACTGTGAAAAGACAATCCTGCGTCAAGAGACCATCATTACCGTGAAGGGTGTTCCCCTTACTTCCTACATGGAGGATTACCTCTTAAACAGCATATCGACAAACTCCTTTAAGGTAGATAATAGAAAACACTTGTTATGTTAACATATCAGTTTTGTGTGAATGATAGTTATGTGAATCTAATATCATGGTAGTGGATTAGATTATTTACTGTACATGTATCCCCTGATAAACATATACGCAATACACCTAAATTTAAAAAAAAATTAATGGAAGTCATAATTTGACAGCTTTTTTTTTTATACAAAAACAAATACCTGTATTTGCTTTAACAAATAACTATCACATTTTGATGTTATTTCTTTAAAGAAAGCAAACTTTCAGCTGTCATGCAGGATGCACAGAGATGTATTTATGATCGGCTGTACCTGTACAGTGTTCATTATTTTCAATGTACTGTATTTATTCTTTACAATTATTTTTACAAGACACATAGTGGTGAACTTTGTGTGAAAAATTACCGAGTTGATCAACATTTTCCCTCATTAGAACATAACCCAAAATAATACATGGGTTCTACTATTCAATTTGTTTTCTCGGTTAATGAAAGTATTTGCAGGAACACAACCCCTTCACATATCAGGGGATACATGTATGTGAATAACATAATACATAATGCTTGGCATACGAGTCCTGTGTTAATATAGATATTGCTCAATTTTATTTATTTCTCGCACTTCCACCCCTTTTCCCTGTCATGCTGTTGGATGGCCGGAATTAAAAGAAAAATTCGTACCCAATACAGACTTTCCCTTGGCTTTTATTCACTTATTCTTACTTTTATAGTATATTCTAATATGGTTAATTACTCCCCTTTCTCTAAAAGGCCCCAAATAACTAGCTATCTATCTCATTTACCAATCACGTTTTACAACCTAGCACCTCCTATCAGCAGCATATTCTCCCCAAATATCACGTGATGCCAAACTCAAGTCATTTACACAGTTGCTGCTTTCTTGGATGTGTCACCTCACTTTGGGTGTGTCTTCACATCCATTCATCTTATTGTTGTTTCATCACTTTATCCTTTATTTGCAATAGGGTTAGGTTCCTGAAAACCCAATCACAGGTCGAAATATCATAAATCAGGTTCATTATCATGTGGCGTTTAATGGGATAGGTTTCTGGCCAGCCGGACACCCATATGTATCACTGAAGAAAAAATTTCTAGAATAATATTAGCACAACAACACAATTAAACAACATTCACCACATCGGCCTAAAGCAGACTCCTTATGTTCTTATACAATATTGTTTAATTGTTATTTTTTAATTAGTAGATACTTTACTGTAATTAATCTGTGTTTAATAATATCTGTATCCTTCTTATGCAATATTGTATAATATCTCAGGAACGCATCTCCATACTGTATATGCAATCGTACCAAATTCATTTTTCAAACACAAATAGAGCAGATGTGAAAAAAATTTTATAAAATATTTTGCTAGCCATAAATATATTTGCTACTTAGCTTTCATCTTTATTAAAGACATCTTCAGGTCATTGAGACCCACTAATCCCTCCTGCCATTGCACGACATTACTCTAGCATCTATTCTAATCATGATAGAGACAGGAATTTGATACCATAATGATACTGAATAAATTCTCTACCAGACCTTTTCAGTTAAAGATTCTTAACCAAAATATTTTGACATGATATAATAATGGGCACTCAATTCTTTTATGGAAAAACATAATAAATGTTGGTATTATAGTGTATAAAATCAGTTCTAATTAAGTTAGAAACACCATTTTTTTTACGAATATAATCTTGCGTAATTTTTCTAAAAGTTTATTTTAATAAATATATATAAACGGCTAAAAATCTGATACAGGCATGTGAAGTGCCTCATGATTGGAGATGTGTGTCAAAGTGGATTTCTCCACATTTTTTCCCAAGTCTAAACGATGCATCTCACACGGACAAACACAAGAGCTCTATTTATTTACGCAAACACCACTGTACACGTACAATATATTATAAATAAACAATTTAATGTATATACTACTGTCCTATTGACCTTACAGTAAGAGTAGACTACTTTTGGATAAGTAGTGTTATCCCCCCCCCCTTATATATTCGCTTTTTTTCGGACTGGGATCTACCCCAATTACAGTAGTCCGATTTATTGAGGTTCTACTGTACAGTAATACCCCGATTTACGCAGTAGATTGAACCCGCGGAGTAGCGCGTAAAACAAGAAGCACGTGAGTGTAATAACAGAACATATAGGATTAATTGAAATAGAGACTGGGCTGACTACCAAACTCCACTTTTTCAGACACAATAAAAATAACATCTTAATTTTATGGTGGTATGCACACACAATTAATAATTAAGAGAAATATCAATAATATTAGGTTTTTTAACACTTACATTAGTAGAAAAGATGACTGGGCACACGGGGATGGGGGGTTGGTTCCGAGGCAGAGGGCAGATTATATTGGCCCTCACTTGTATCAATTGTATCACTATCCACCACAGAGGCTTGCAGGGCCTCTTTGTCAAACCCCCCAAAGTCCATATCCTCACTATCACTGACTTGGGCCGGCTGTGGCAGGTGAAGAACTCGGTAATGTTTTGATGACTGGGCTACCTTGTGCACACCCTGCGTATATGAGTAGATGCACCGCGTAAATTGGGCATTCTAGTTCTGGCGGGGTACTGCGTAAATGTGGAAACGCGTAAACGAGAGCCGCGTAAACCGGGGTATTACTGTAAATGTATAATTTTTTTTTTTTTTTTTACAGGGTCGTGATGCCATGGAATTTGTCATCTCTAAAATCAACAGAGAGGTGGAGGAATTGATGTCCACATACAAGCGCAGTACAACAGAAATATTCTCGCATACAAAACGCTCCTTTGGAGAAATCACAGAATCTGCTCTTCGTTCTGTTGATGATATTTCTTTAGTGGCAATGAAGTCTGTTGATGAAATCTCCGATGCTGCTAAGAAATCAATTGATGACTTATCATGTGCAGCAAAGAAGGGAATTGATAGTTTTACCCAGCCTGCAGGATCTATGCCAAGAATATGAAAGCAAGAAGTATCTAGGATTTATTTCAATTGTAGTGTAACAGTTTCTGAAGATAATGCATTGTCAGAAAAGACGAAGAAAAGTTGATAAGAAGACGGCATCGGTATAAATGGTTGTACATTAATATCGAATAATACAAGTTTTTCGAGGAAATATTACATAATGCTTTGCAGTACAGTATACAGTATTGTATATTTATCCTGTTTAGGATAGCATATGATGAAATGATCTTGGACAAAGAGAATTTGATGGCTTAGGCTACAAATTTTCTTGACTGTAATATTCCCAGCAGCATGGGACTTCTTCATGTTGAAGATATATTTCACTTTGTTCATAATTCAAAAGTCTGATATAATATTCTTTTAAATTGCTGATAAATGTTATCAGGAAAATTCTGGACAAAAAATATACTGGACATATGACTGGTCCTTTGGTTGTTTTTATTTTATTTCTCAAGAAACTCCTTGTTGCCATGATATGTATGGTAATAAGCTTGTACTGGAGAGATGTTGCTATAAGATTTTGGATTTCAACCTTGTGCAGTATTGAAGTGATGAACACTTTCTTGTACAAGGACATAATCCCAAGTATGATGGCTCATACTCACTCAGGGTCCATCCATTTATGGAAGTAATCCGCACTCTGTCATGTAAGGTATAACCATTTAATTATATCTGTTCAGAGATCCTCAGAATTTAAGTACAATACTGTATATTTTTTACAATCCTCTTTTTCAAACATTGTGCTGTGATTTTATTAGTCCTGGTTAAAAAAAATTCTTAAATGAAATATATATATATATGGTTTGGTTAATTATTTTCAAAAGCACCTGTAGCAAAAATTTGAGCATCTATGAATTTACATGACAAAGTGCTGGACTCATCCACTTTTCCCACTACCTAAAACAAACAATGCAATTTGATAGTTTACCTCTATTATTTTATTTTATTTATTTTTTTGTTCAATAATAGCAGTTTACACTGTTATCACATATATCTCTTGTGCAAATAATGTAGGTGCTTTAGCTGTTCATCTTGGATATCTATAATTTGAACACTTAGATTTCTTTTATGTTATAAAGTAGAGTATGAACTAGATACAATAGTAATGTTATGTCGACTATAAGCAAATGTGTTGAAGAGCATGTACAGTACATATCATGTAATCCTCTGTAATAGAATCAAGTCTGTAACAAAGTTACTTGCTATACCATTAGCAAATATGTTCTTAAGAAGATGTAAGTTTTTACCATCAGTACAGTATTGAGAATCTGAAGCCAAATACTATATAAATTATGCTGCAGTTCCAAGTGTTGTCGCATATTTTTATTCTTGCAATATATTTTGTATAGTATTTATTTTATTATTGATTTTTTTTCTTCATAATATTCAAATGTGAACAATACACTGCAGGAACAAAAAGTTGTTTTATTTTTCATATACATATACACAAAGTGATCCCCCGATTAACTAATTCCTTACGAGCGCCCCTCAACATGTTTTCGCTTGCACACTAGCTGTCGTATTAGTCCGCCAATACAGTAATCGGTTCTAGGGCTTAAATTCCTTCCTATTTTAGTAAATATCAAGAAGTTTGTACTATTCAATAATTATTGAATAGTACAAACTTCTTATAATTTTAAAAGTCTTATACTGTATTAAAATTTTTAGTCATTCTGGTTGGGAGGTGGGGTGTTAGACAGCCAGGAGGGGAGATTACTGCTTAATTGTCAATGTAGAATGGAAATGTCAGGGACTTGGGATTATACAATAGAGGGAGTGTAAGTTTTTCACTTATAAAATAGCACGGACTTGACTTGGCAGAATATAACTTTCATTACTGGGTTTCTTGCAAGATAGCAATTATAGTACGGTACAGTAGAGTATATGCATCCCATAGTTTCCAGTAGACAAAATTTGTAGTAATTAACTTAGTACATTGAGTACAGGTTTGTCCCGAGGACAATAATTTATTTTACCTTTTTCACTATATTTAGGATGGTGTGTGCATGTACCTGTAAATGAGTAAAAACAAGTGTAGAAAGTTGTGTATATCTACCCAAAAAATGCGAGTTGAAAAACAACCATAACACCTCACAGCTTGGTCCAGTAGTCTGGTGGTTATAATGCCATGATTAATCCCTATTAAGTAGTATAATATCAGTAAACACTAATAATAGCGGTGAAATATGGCAGGGATGGAGAGTTACAAGAGCAGATGATGCTCTAGCTAGTGGTCACTCATTCGCTCCCATTGCCAGGCAGTGATAAACAAGTTATATACGTAAACCATGCATTAACCTACGATAACATAATAAGAAACATTATGTTGTGTTATCCTCTTCACCACTGATCGGCTCGTTAATCGCTTGGGCAATTCGACACGTCTCTGTTACCTACTGTTGGCAATTACTGGGCATGCACTGGCTCCTGAATGTATCTGAACCTGGTCCAATGATTGTCAAGTCTGGTCTTGAAAGAGCTCACTCTCTGTACCGTCACAACACACACTGGCAGATTGTTAAAAAGAGTTCACAACTCTCACTCTGAAAAAGTTATCCCTCGCGGTTTTCTGGACCTGCGGCTGCTTCAACTTTGAGCTGTGACCCCTTTGGGGCGAGCGTCCACCAGCTCCAGGTAAGGACACTCCACTGAACAGTGGCCTTTGACATGTTTGTACACCTCAATTAGGTCCCCCCTTGTTCATGTTTTCTGCCTGAGCCGATTAAAAAATATATAACAAATAGATGTAATTATTTGACAGTAAAAGCAGCATAGCCATTTAGTTTAATGTAATTAAATACTGTAGAATATGTAGCACATTTAAATAAAAGATAAAGTGTTTTTTAGTCTGTAAGACAATTTTTAAATATTGAATAAAATACTTATAAACAACATAAATAATAAGTTTATTTAAAATTAATCCTTGCATGAATAGCAGTGTCCAGTATTTTGAAATGGAAAATCTGATATTTTCAATCATAGTTTACCCTTAAAGATGAGAATGTTGTTCTTCTTCCTTGGAGTTGGGACGCTTGACTGACCACTAGATGGCGAGAGGTAAGGGAGACATGCTTCCCTTGTGTTGACTCCTACGTTTGTTTACTCACTCAGCTGACTGGAGCCACGGAGGTGACCGAGTGTTGACTGTTCACCCAAGCACTAACCTCGTCAATCAATAATCATTAGGTACAGAAGTTTTGCCAGCCTGGTTACTTTAGTATACTTTACAGAGATAAGAAAGTTTGATTTTCAAATCAGCATTTGAGTCTGACTTGGCCAACATACAGTGCATTATGAGTCTGACTTGGCCAACGTACAGTGCATTATGAGTGACTTGGCCAACATACAGTGCATTATGAGTCTGACTTGGCCAACGTACAGTGCATTATGAGTGACTTGGTCAACATACAGTGCATTATGAGTCTGACTTGGCTAATGTACGGTACATTATGAGTCTGACTTGGCCAACGTACAGTGCATTATGAGTGACTTGGCCAACATACAGTGCATTATGAGTCTGACTTGGCTAATGTACGGTACATTATGAGTCTGACTTGGCCAACGTACAGTGCATTATGAGTGACTTGGCCAACATACAGTGCATTATGAGTCTGACTTGGCCAACGTATGGTGCAATGCCAGGAAAAGGGTAACCAACCCTTTGTACTGATATTTGAATTTCTACAGAATTAGTGTTAAGGCATTAGTGAAATAGTATTTATTGGCGACCTGTTCAGCCATATCTAGTTATTCTGGTACTGAAAAATCAAATCTCCGCTCCCGACGCACCCACACATTATTCAGTGGTGAAGACGAAAAACTCTTGCCTAATTTTAAGTCTCCTATTGCTATAGCCAATAAGAAACTCCCACACCACCCCCTGCACATGCGCTGTAGATGCTTAAGAAGCCAACACGGAGGTAAGAAGCACTGTGTGTTGGGTGGTCAGACCTTCTCTGAGACGTAAACAATAAATGGCGACACTTGTGACTGGCCAAATCTACCCGGTAATAATATTGAAAAATTAAGATCTCGGTTATCCTTAATTTCCGGCGGAAATATCACAGAAGAAAAAGGTCTTAGAATTGTCTAAACATTACAAAAAACATATTAATAACAGCGAGAGAAATACCGGTGCAAGATCGAAAATTCACCATTAAATCTAACGTAACCTTAGTTGATAAGAAAAACAAGTAGCAGAAGCGTTGTTAGAAGACCTCACCAACCTACCCAAAGAAACCAGACTAACTTAACCATGCGTCTCAACCCTACAGACCCCCTGGCATATAAACAAAGAACTTACTATTATGTGGTGTAATTTTACCTTTTTTTGTGGACGTGAGAGCAGTGACCTGATCCATGTGGCTCACAAACATACACTGGCAAAACGCATTGATCGGAAATGATTGGCTATGTACTTCCGCATTACGCCGAAAAAGACAAAGTAGTCTACAGTGTACACCTAGTTGCCTAATTGTCTTCCAAACGAAGCAATTTCCATAAAAATTATATTTATATCAGAACTCACTGATGAAAAAATTGTAAGAATATAAACATCAAAAGAAATCACGCGTCGGCTGTGAAGTCCTCCATATTAGACAGTCATTTGCGGGGGAAACGTCATAGAAGAAAAGTGTCTTTGAATTGTCTAAATTATTGATTGCAAAGATAAAGTTCTTAGGATTCCATGGTTGTGTGGAAGTAAAAATACGGTGAAATTAATAATTGTCGCAAAACTGACAAACGATTTATGCTTGTAAAACAATATACCTGTATTTATTTTTTTTTGGGGGGGGGTGCATAATATTTGAGAACAGTACTATTACCAGAAGGATTGTTCGATTTCGTTAAATTTTTCCATAGATGTTCTTATTATTATACAGGTAATTAGGATTTTAAAAGAAGCGCCATTAACTTGAACCTAATAGAACCTGCCCTAACCTACCAAACCTTACCTAACTTCCTAACTTGGTGGCTCCTTCCCTTGGACCCTCACCCATATTAAACAGAAAGTACTTACGGTATTATGATATCTTGTACCAATGAAAGCAACCTCGTTGAAGCATCATTGTGTAACTTTACATTTTTTGTGGATATGAGGGTACTCTCGGACCGAGTGGGTCGGTTGTAAACAGATGACATGCAGTGACTCGGCAGATTATTTTGAAGGAAAATTTACAGAAAATAATAAATTTATTCACATACAAAGCACATAGAAACATAATTTTAATGTCATATGATCAGTTTTCACCATGCTTTACCTCGCAATTTTTCCCTCATCCTACCTGCCCTGACCACTGCAGGTGATTTATGATCATAGAGGAAAAACTAAAAATAAAATTAGGCGCTACTATAGTTGTGTGATGTACAAAGATATCTTTAGTCTAACCTAACCTAACCTAACCTAACCTAAGTAATCTGACTTAACCTAACCTGACCTAATCGAACCTAAGCAAAGCTAACTTAACCTAAATACTGTATCTTGTAGACTGCATGCTATAGTAACACCAAAAATTAGCTATACCTAACCTAACCTAAAATAGAAAATCTTGTATTTAATGGGTATAAAATCATGGTCGCTGTTGCTGATATTTGGCAGGACTGGAAACATTTTATAATATATCGATCATAAAATGAACCAAACACACTAACGTAACCAAATCTAACCTGACTAATATACGGAAAATACTGGAGCAGATGGCGGCTAATATATGAGACGTGACCGTTGGCGGCTAATATATGAGACGTAACCGTCCGCAGTTTGGTAATTATGAGGGTATTTTTAGACAATTTTGTATGCTGATTACTTTCAGTTCTATTCATTTTCTTGTGTAAATTTTTAGTTTTCTATATACTGTACAGTATAAGTGAGTTAGGATAGCATTACTGTACATACAATCGTGTCATCAGCCGTGATGTAGCAGATGTAAACAATGTACCGTGAGGGCAAATATACGAGACATGGCTATCAGCGGTTTGGTAAGTGTGTGGGGTGTTTTTAGACAGTTTTGTATGCATATTACATTCAGTTCTATTCATTTTCTTGTGTAAAGGTTTAGTTTTTTAGATAGTATAGGTGAATTAAGATATAGGTTAGGTTTGGATAAGCTAGGTTTAGGTTAGCATGTGATTTCAGCCATTTTTATATTTTTCCACAACACCAGGACGCTTTGTTCGATTTCGTTCATTTTTTCCACATGTTCTTTGGATGATGGTAAGTAATAAAAACGATATGACAATGCACAGAACCTAATAGAACCTGCCCTAACCAACCAATGAAACCTACCCTACCTTACCTAACTTACTAGCCGTGGACCAAAGTTGTGGGACCTGGATGTGTATGTTCATTTCTTGTTCCAGACTATATTTTGAAATACCCGTACAGTATGATTTGTGGATCATCCTCTCATTTTTGTATGTACTGTACTATGTTAAAAATTTCATATTTAAGGATTCCTATTTCAGTATTGTCCTTATTTCCATCTTAGCCATGAGTGTTCCAGCAGACCAGCCCGATGATGAGCTTACCATCCCTCGGGCTGCCATGAACAAGATGATAAAAGAGATTCTTCCAAATGTACGAGTTGCAAATGAAGCTCGGGAGCTTATTCTTAACTGCTGCACAGAGTTCATACACCTCTTGTCCTCTGAAGCTAATGAGATCTGTAACCAGCAGCAAAAGAAAACTATAAATGCAGAACATATATTAAAGTGTGAGTAAATTTTAATTCTCTACTGTATTAGGTAAGTTGAACTGTGACTTATTGAGTGAAATGCACAACTTTTTACTTCTAGTATTGAATTATCTGGCTGAGTGCAAAAAGGGTCAATGTCAAAAAATGCCAATTCAGATTTTGGCCCATGTAACCCAGGTTTCATGGGCCAAAGTCTAAATTGGCATTTTTTTACATTGGCCCTTTTTGCACTCAGCCAGAGAATTTGCTTCCATAATGTAGTCACTGTATCAGTATTGGATAATTAAATTAGTAAGATGTACATTATCTTGTACCATCAGTATACAGTACAGGTACTACATTTCTGTATTGTTGCTTATAATGCTTAGAATACTGGACAGTATTACAGTAGTACAGTACGGTATACAGTATAGATTTATTTCTACAACATTAATAAAAAAATAATTCTCGCTAAAGTCTAATATCTTTATATATTATTAAATAGTAAGATATTGAGTAAGAAAAGATCTATCCACCAAATATTATAACTTATAGTGATGTGAATTCAGCCTTAGATACACTTGGCTTTGGTGACTACCGAGCTGAAGCTGAGGCAGTGCTTAAGGACTGCAAGGCCATGGCAGCCAAGAAGAGAAGAAAAAGTACACGTCTAGAAAATCTTGGGATCCCTGAAGAAGAATTACTTAGGCAGCAGCAGGAGCTCTTTGCCAAGGTGTGTGCATATCTTCAAAAATTTAAGTTATAATCTTTCCTGCTTAACCCTCTCGCACATGATGACGGGATTTGCATCATATTCATGATAAGACTAACTTCATGGTGATGCAAATCACTTTAAAAAATTTGCAAAACATTAAGTTTTCAACAGGATTGTGTCAAAATTTGATGCATCACAGTAGCAAGTAAGTTCTATCAAATAAACTAATTGGCAACTCTTGAGGCCCATAGGAAGGGAAAAAGTGAATGATAAATGCACAGTATTATCTCAGCAGTCACACCATGAGTGTGAGCAGTGTCCAGTTACCGTTCCATGACACCGTGCGGGCTGCCTTAACTGGATTACAGTGCTTACCATACTCCCTGAAATAATTTCTTTTTAGTGTTAGTGAAGTGATGGTTGTTTAGTGTAATATATCTTTTTTTCTTCATATTTACAAATAAAGTGTATCAGGCTATACAACCTCATTATAGTGACAATGTCTCGAAAAAAGTCTCTGAAAGGGGACGATTTTCTAGAACTCCTGTTTAGGGGCAGTGAGGATCAAGTGGATAGTGATAATAAGGAGCCTGGTAGTGAAAATGATTGTGATATCAACAAAGAAAGTCATGAATCTGAGGGATAAATTGTGTTGGTTGCATCTACGTTATCACGTGCCTCACCACCAGAGACTCCCTCTACCACCACCCTGCACCAACACTGTATCACCCTCACTCTTCTTCACCACAACTTTCCACTTCCCTAGCATCTCCTTCATATCTCCTGCATTATGCAAGTCTCATACCACCCGCTATCTCCCTTCCTCACCAGCCAGGTGGTCCACCAACACCCCACCACATGCCTCCCATGGTCACTAAGCTCCTTCCACCTCCCACACTCCACGTATCAGCTATGCTACGTTGGAATACCTCTCCTTCTTTATTAAACACTCACGCACCCTCATTCACACTCCTACGCACTCATCCATACTTCCACACACACTCATCCACACTCCCACACACTCATCCACATCCCCACACACTCATCCACATCCCCACATACTCCTACACTCATTCTGCACTCACACACTCACCTACATTCACTCACAATCATTCACTCACACTCTTACATTTTACTCAGGCTCATTCACTCACTTCCTCCCCTAAAGTCCATCTACAAGTTCTGGAAGTCTTCCACCTCCCTGAAGGATGTGGGTACAGAATGATCAGTATGGAATAAATTTATTTTATATTATATTTTCTGTTATTTTATATGCATTTTATTATTAGATATTGTGTTACCTTCTTTTACTATACTGTATGACAATCAAGCGATGTCGTTCAACACCCATCCACCTATAAATATGATCTTATGATCTTATTTTATATTATACAGGTACAGTACTGTAATACAATTTATGTTATTATGATATAGTACAGTATTTTGTTATAATATGTGTTATTCTTGTATATTATACTATATACCGGTACCACAAGTCATGCGATGCGGTCGAATGCCCACCCACATGTATAAAAAGTCGCCAACAAAACCCTCAAGACTTACATGAATTTTATCAGTATCATTCTTTTCTGTGGTTTTAACTCTTCACATTAAATAACAATCACCTCGATGAAAACAGTTGTTGATAACCAGACTTTTGTCTGATTTTCAACCCGGAGAGTTATGTTTCATATTTTTTTATTGTTAATGTAATAGTCTTTTAATAACCTTGTTATACACTTAAAGACGTTAGTTTTTGAAGTGCAATAAAACATAGCAACAAATGATTTTCTTTCAACAGTTCAGATAAGCACCTCCTTCCCCCTCCCCCCCCCCCTTGAGGTACAGATAGGCCCTTCAAATTTGCAGGGGTTAGGTTCTCAAAATGGCCGAGAATTGCCAAATCCGCGAATAACATTTGCTGACGGGGAGGGTGGGGGGATTTTTTATATTTGTGTACAAAGAAATGTATATATTCCCTTTATGTGTTTGCCTTTAGGACAATTGTTTCTTTTACCTGTATTGTATGTATGTATGTGTGTGTGTGTGTGTGTGTGTGTGTGTGTGTGTGTGTGTGTGTGTGTGTGTGTAGACACACACACATAAAACACATACAAATAAATAATGGGAAAATCCTCTCACAAATAATCAGAATTTTTTTTTAAATGTTAAGTCGACCCTCAAGTCTACTCGGTGCTTTGTTATTAATAAAGCACGGATTACGAAGGTAGACACAACATTTTATTACTACATTTGTTTCTGATTATTTGCGAATTATCGCGTACTGTATTCGCTTTTTTTTTTTACTTTTACATCTTTTGGATTGGGGTCTGGCCCAATTAGTCCAATTTATCGAGGTTCCACTGTGTGTGTGTGTGTGTATATATATATATATATATATATATATATATATATATATATATATATATATATATATATATATATATATATATATATATATATATATATATATATATATATATATATATATATATATATATATATATATATATATATATATATATATATATATATATATATATATATATATATATATATATATATATATATATATATATATATATATATATATATATATATATATTCCTCCAATCCTTTTCCCATCACCTTGCTTGTTCATGGACCTCACTGGTTAAACATATGTGGGGAGGTGGGGTCACACAGCACCTGACAATTTCCAGTCTGGTTATTTTCCTCACAAAATATTACTGGTAACGTGTCTTCTGGGCAATTGCTGGGCACATGAATATGAGAAATCACTTGTCTGGTCCCTAGTCCAGGCACAACTTGAAATAAATGCCAAAGCATTTGTATATATATGCTTCTGTTTATATAAATAGCTGAGCATTTTAGTGACATCTTGTAGTTATGCAGTGGTAATTCTTGAGTAGCACTGCATAAGTATGCTGAAAAATACATTTACACTAACATCTAATGATACTATTCAAACAGAAACATGCTGGCTACTAATAGACATTTGAACTCTTCAATTTTTTTTTATATTCAGGCTCGCCAGGAACAAATGTTGATGCAACAACAGGAGTGGCAGATGGTACAGGCTCAAGCTGCAGCAGCTCAGCAGCAGCAACAAGAGCAACAGACTATTGATGATGATGAAGATTACTCCTAAAACTTCTCCTTAAGTCACGACCAGAAGTATTTTGTCTGTTCCATTTTGAGTTTTGCAATGACTTTAGTAAGTTTGGTAAATTAATTCATTTAAAGTAATCTGAAAATAGTGAGACTTAAGATTGCAGGAGTCCTTTTCATTTTCATTATAGATTTTTTTATTGTAAAACATTGTTTCTAATCAAATTTTAAGCTGGTCATGTTGCCTATCAAAACACTGCTGTTATTATTTGGCTAACCAGAACAGTATTCTTTCAACAGTTGTCCTTTTGCTACCAGTATTTATTACCATACCTCCTGACCACATCAATACTACAGCCTGATTTATTATTTTTTTCAAACAAACTTGAACCCAAAAGCTTATTACTGTACTGGTATTTCTTGTTTTTCGTGATGTTGTTCTACCCTGTTGGTTTTAGTTTGACAGGTGCATCTTGCAAAGACAAAAAGTTTAGGATGGGCATTTTGTTGTCATAAAAAATGAAAGGTAAAAGAAAAAATTATTGGTTTATTCAGTGAGTACTGTACTGAACATACTCAAATGTATTCACCCCACATACGTACCATATACTGTACAGTCAATTATTTTCTTTATGAACTGAAAATCAGTCAGATTTATGTTTACGGAAAGGCCATTTATTATGGTGAAATATTCGGAATTGTAATTTGTAGGCCTTATGTTCCAATTTCCAGTTTTGACCCAAGTGGAGACAGTACTGTACTGTATTTGATGTCATGTGGATTGCACAGATTTTAAATGTAAAGTGAGAATTTTGCAAGTTTAAATTTTTTTCACCCTTGTCAAGAAGTAAGTAATTTTACTCTTTTTTGTTTGATCTGAGCTCTTGTGTATGTCCACTCCTATAGTTTAAGCCCCTGTGTCACTGGCAGAATTAGTAATGTAAGGTGTAGATGTGAGACCATGCTTACACCACAGCAGGGTAGACCATTTTTTTCAATTTTGCTGTAATATTTTATAAAATATGTCATACCTCAACTTCAGGCATAGATGACATTTATGCTTAAAGAAAATATATATAGTTTACAGAAAAAAGGTATACCTTTTCAAATTTTCCTTGTGTGCACACTCTACCATCTCCTTCCTATCCTCCATATAACAGATCCCACTTAAACCTTGATTGGTTGGAAATGTAAATGCCTCAAGTCTGTTTTTTGTTATCAGAGGCTGACAATTTTATTGTAGTGCATACGGAAATACTCTAGTGCATAAGTATTAGCTCTGACAATACATTATGTTAGGGTGTCTTGGGATTGGAGGGTTTATAACTCCTTCTTATATGGTATCCATATAAATTTTTTTTTATATACATAAATTATTTCTTACTGGATTTGAAAATGAAAGTGGATAGGGGGTTTCTGAAATACTATCGGCTTATATTAGATATATTGAAAATTAGCAGAATTCTGTTCTGTGTTAAGAAACAATGTTAATGAAAAATTAATTAACAATTACTATTCTCACTGAGGATTGTATATTTTATGAACAGAAATAATCACTGTTGCTGCATTCCAAGTTGATCTGCACCATTTGTGAAGCGCTCTTGCATATAAACTAGAAGGTCTTCCTGTGGATAGGTCTTTCACATAGTTTTTAATAGAATTTTCACATTGAATTATTGACAATATTTCTGACTAGTATAAGTTAGAAATATGAGAACTATAAAGTGAACAAAGAAGGAATATGAAAGGGTTATGTATGATTGAGCAATGACGATGGATGCACTTGATTATAGGTTTGTCTGCTTTGCTGAAGTACGTAATTTTTCTCTGCAATTGTAACCATCAATACAGTAATTTTAAATTGAATAAATTGTTTATACAATACTGTATGTAGAATTTACTTAAATAACCTATTATAAAGGGGATCAGGTGAACTCATCCATTGGTAGAACGTAGCTCCAAGAAAGCCCAGTCCCAGAGACATCCCATGTTCCTAGTCACATAATTTTCTGGTTAATGCAAAAGACATTCACTATTTTCATTACTGTAATAATACTATTACAACAAATACAGTATTTATTGTTCCTGGAAATTTGCACTGTACTGTACAGTATAGTAATAGTTTCACACACTAGTATTCTCCATAAACAAGCTTAGATATGGGAGTGACATTTGTGTAATCCACACACAATGTCAACACAATTCGGTAGGGTAAACCTTCTTGTCTGATATCTGATAAAATTAAGAAAAAGTTTGTCCTTTAAAGGATCACATCCAGTAACTGGCCTGAAGGCACTGAGTCCCATGGTTGGTAGATGTAGAACTGTAGTGGGAGGAGATAAGTATTTTCTAACCCAACATATTACGTTGCAGACAGTTTATGGTCAAGTTCTTGACCTTCCCAGCCAGGATAGGTAACATAGAAGGCAGTCAGAGGTCAAACTTAAGTCAGGTTAAGTCATTAAAATAAACCACAAACTTACTGAGCTATGTACTTTATTTGTTTATTATGTACCCCAATTAAACCCAGGTTGAGCAAGGCCAGGTTATGAAGATAGTCTTTTGTTGAATTATGTAATTTATTTCTGTAGATTATGCAGAATTTCTTTGCCTTGATCTTGGAGAACACTGATTAGTTCCATTGTTATTGTGACACCTATTGTCTTGCCTATCCTGGAACACATCATGAATACCTGTACAGAACAGGTATGCAATAATATTTACTAATGTACGTATGTAGTTTATAAATTGTAAAATTTTATGTTTAAATAATCAGGAGTACAAATATATATGTAACAATTTAAAGTTATCAAAATCTTGAGTGATGTTTGTTTTGATGGTGCTGAGCATGTTTAATACATAATGAACTATGGGCACACCTCAGAAAAAACATGCAAGTCCAGTGGCAGCTCATGCCTAGGAGCTGCAGAACTGCAGTCAAAGACTATGCTGTACGAAAGATAGGAAAGCGACTATCCCTACCACTAAAAAAACATGTGCGGTCTAAATCCATGACAGCACCATCGATTGAGCTGGCACACCACTATGCGGAGCATCATTTTAATGGTTGCTAACATGTCAATTTTTCATATGAAATATGCATAAGATATGTTAATATAACTAATTTTATATTTTCTCCATATAATACACATAAAATGTATAAATTAGTTGATCACCTTGTTATAATAAGTTACTGGAAGAATTGTTACTCCTTTTATTTTTTATTCATGATTGGAACATATTTTTGCACATTTTATGTGGGAATCATATAAATAATCTGTTTCATGTACTGTATTCATTTAAGTCAACAATGTCAACTCATTTTCTATGCTTTAGAATGTAAAATATTACATTGTTTTTAGGATCAAAAGTAATAGTCGGCATTTTGGAGGGGTGAAGGATATACAGTAAGTCCTCGCTTAACGTCGGGGTTACGTTCTTAAAAATGCGACGTTATACGAAACAACGTTAAGCGGATCAATTTTCCCCATAAGAAATAGATAAAATACGGAAGTTATGTTCCTGAGCTTCCCTTTGCTCCATGAAATAAATTACATATACCTGTACATAAAATCATTGCCATTTCTTTAGAAAATAATGCATACATACACAACTACTCTACAGGCATCCCCCGGGTTACGGAAGGTATGTGTCCTTAAAAATTTGTCCGTAACATGAAATTTCGTAACACGAAACCAATTTTCTCATTGGAGATGCGTTCCCAAGGAAATATTTTCGTCAAAAAGACGTAATACAAGCACATTTATGAATTAAATTTTTTTTTTAACACATACATTGATTATTTTATGATATAATATGATAATAAATATGCAAAACACTTGAATTTAACTTACCACAAACGATGTTGAGTGCTACGTTAGGTAAAGCGGTGCAATCGGAGTCTGCGTATCATCAGGTGAAGATGGCTGAGGAAGATAAGGAAAAGACAGCATTTTCATATGGGCAAGGGCTATGGCAGTTCAAAGCTATGCCATTCAGCTTGTGCAATGCACCAGCTACCCTCGAACGCCTCATGGATAGGGGTCTGGAAGGCTTGCACTGGAAGACCGCCCTCATATATCTGGACGACGTGATTATCCTTGGCAAAAGTTTTGAGCAAAAACTGGGGAGGCTATTGGAAGTATTTGACTGGTTCTGGGCTGCACACTTTAAACTGAGCCCAAAGAAATGTTACTTGTTCCAGATGGAAGTTCAATATCTGGGATATATAGTAAGTGAAGATGGAGTATGCACAGACCCAGAGAAGGTGGCGGTGGTGAGAAACTGGCCGGTGCCAACTTGTATAAGGGAGCTGCGTAGTTTCCTTGGCCTTGTACCTCCTACCGTTGATTTGTTAAGAACTTCGCCATGATCGCAACACCATTGCACAAGCTGACTAAGAAGGGGCATAAGTTTGTGTGGATTACTGAGAGTCAAGGTTCCTTCAACCAGCTAAAGGATGCCTTGGCCAGCTCCCCGGTGCTCCCGTATCCAGACCCAACTCAACCATTCATCTTGGACTGTGATGGTAGTGATGATGGCATCGGTGGGGTGCTGTCCCAGAAGAAGGATGACATCGAGTACGTAGTGGCATACTACAACAAGAAGTTAAGCCCTCCAGAGAGAAATTATTGTGACCAGAAAGGAACTCTTGGCTGTAGTAAAGAGTTTAGACTTTTTCCATCCCTACCTGTATGGATCTAGCTTCACCATCCGGACTGACCGCGAAGCACTGAGGTGGCTTAAGACCCTGACGAATCCAGAAGGACAACTGGCACGGTAGATTGGAAAGCTGGATCAGCACCATTATACCATCCAGTACAGGCCTGAATATAGACAATGCAGGCATATAGTGCACATAGGCCGTGGGAGTATTATATACAGTATACAGTTTCCTGTGTGCCGAGACAGTGCAGGTAAACGACAATGGTAAACAGTAAGGCAACTTGACTAAGGATAGCCAACAAAGCTGTCAGGTGCTTATTTCCAGGAGGGTCCTCATCCTCCCTTCTACTTAGTTGTCTCTGATATTAACAAGTTGTTCTATACAGGATTTTCTTTTGCAAACATGGGACTAGAAATAAAGTCCCACTGGAATGTCAGGAGAGAATGGCGTGGTGCCGGCCCTCCATCATGTTTGTCGCTGGGGTTGTCTGGATAGTGCGTAATAAGGTTAGCAATACACTAGTCCAATAACAATTAAAAATTATGAGAGATAAAACTCTGTATAACTGGGAGTAATGCATTCTTATCTCTCCTTCTCTCCTGTGGTTGAACTGAAATTGAATGGATCACACACTTGCTGTGACTGCTTGTCTCTTCTGTGCTCTAACAATGAAGGTCTGTAAGTGCTCAAAAAGGTTAGTGTTTTAATACACTAGTCCACATACAGTTAAAAATAATGAAAGATAAAATTCTCTCTATAACTGGGAGTGAAGTGATCTTGTTAACTCTCTTGTGGTTGAGCTGAAATTGAATGGATCACACACTTGCTGTGGCTGATGTCTGACATCGGATTTGTTAATTTCTTTCTTAGCTCTTTGTAACAGCTAGAGTTGCTTGTGGAGGAGAGAGCTTATTTTTGGTTAATTGCCGCCAGCTGCCATTTTGTCAGAGCTTCTCTGGATTTTCACGACTCTTCAGTCCCAGCCTTTAGTTGACGTATTCCCATGTACAGTAGTTCCCCTTAGGCTCAATTATAAACTGGATTTCAGGTTCACTCCCGCATCTTTCTATACTTTACCCAAAATCGAAATTATGCTTTTTGAAAAGTAGTTAATTCCAGTATGCCTATAACAAAGACATATTTGAAATAACAACACAGGCAGTGCCACATGAGTGATCACCTGGCCAGCTGTCATGATGGTATACAATAACCGTTGTTATAAATATTTTCCTGCTGCTCGATTCAGACTAAGCTTTGCTGGTTTTGGGTCGTTTTATCTTAAACTATCTTTAAAAAAAAACGAGAATACCCATTGAGGCGGTGTAAATCTACTACAGCTGATTAACTTATCGGGTTGATTATGGAAACAAGCATGAATTTGAGAAAAAGACCGCAGGAGTAATTTATATAACAGATAGAAAAAAAAGATGCAGAGAGATCGTTGGCATTATCAAAACCAGATTTATTGCATAAGTGAACTCAAATGTTTACACTCAGCTTTAAGCAACAGTCAAGTTTCCCGCGCAAAGAAGATCAATATTTTCCCGCCATGCTACTGCGCTCTTACTGGTTCAGAGCTCAGACTATGGTCTTTTAGAAATGCAAATTTTCGTTTTATAGGGTAGGATATTTATATTATACTATAAGTAGCAACAAATTCAAATAAGAATTTTTATTCTAATGGATCTAATATAGAATTATACAAAAAATTATCATTGTAATCTTTTTATTTCCCCAAAATGCGCACCCTGTTTACATGATGGGTCACGGGTGTTGAGTCTGTTGACATCGAGACCTCTCACTCAGAGACTATCAGACGGACGCGAGAAACACACAACCCATGGTAGGTGTTAGTGCATTACCTAATTTGTTTAAGGCAAGACAGAAGTACTTATGTGATACGATTTATAAAGAGAAAATTAATATAATTTTTTATACAGTATACATTGTCTCCACCCGGCCCCTACCCGACCGTTGTAGAGGTACTGTTGAAAGACGGGCACCATAAATGTCAAAAAGTGAACTTAATTTGAAAATTTATTGTTACTGCAGTACCATCTACTGTGTACATTTTTACTGATTTATGGAGAGCATGATTATAGGATTTGTTTGATGTTTGTTTCCCCCAAGACAAAATTTTATAGACTAGAAAACCTTCTGACGTGTTGTTTTCGTCAAATGTATTATCATGAGCAGTTGCAATAGGGAAGAAATTTTAAAGCT